CGGTTGTCCTTGTGGATAACAAAGGATCCGTGGAACGGAGGGTGAGTCATCAAACCAACATAGCCGATATCAGTATAGCACTTCATACTAAACATCTCTGGTTTTGTTGTTTAAATGAAAAGGCAGTATATGAAGTTCCTACAACGTCAGATGTGCCTGTTAAAAGGTTTAATACTGATGATGAACCTTTCTATCTGTGTGTGACGAAGGAAGGCAACGTTGTTGTAGGGTCGGAGTGTAAAGTGACAGTTTACGATGGAAATGGCGTGACACTACATCAATCTACACGAGATGCTTCAGGGGTAGTGTCGCCTGCTTCCATCGCCCAATGTCCGCTAACTGGCAACATAGCTGTTGTAAATGGAGAACCCACTGGCAGTGATACTGATAATATTAGTAGCTGGAGAAGTCACATCATAGTGTTTGATAAAACACTTGACGTGAAGTTTCAATATCGAGGAGAAGGGATTCAAGACAAGGAGCCAGCACCAACACATTTATTTGGTCCCAATTCAATTTCATATGACTCTTTTGGGAACTTAGCAATTGCAGATTACAAAACGTATACGGTGGAATTAATCAATGGTTCCGGACAGTTCGTTAGGACTTTACACAGAAACAATCGTGAGCAGGGAGCTATTGGCGTTAGTGTAGGGAATGTGTTGTGGACGGAGCTGGAGACAGATTCGACAGAGTGGATAATACAGCTACTGCAATATTACAAGGACTAATTTTGATTGTGTTTCTGCCTGAATTCAATAGACATGATACTGTATTATCAGATGTATTAGGAGCCCCATAAATTTACATTTAGCAAAATACATTGACACTTTATTTTATCGCCGCACATTTCACATCAGTCCGAAAATGTCTTGTTAAGCTTCTCGTGTATGATTTATTTGTCTCCAAATATTTATTGTGAACACTCAGCATACATTCATGTTCAGCTTGCTTTTTAGGATATACACAATATGATAATAAAGCAATTCAAATTTACATTTGTTTTTTTTTCGTTTTTTCTTTTGTAAACGTTTTTTTTTTCTTAAATGTTATTTTTTATCCATTGAATGAAAATATGGATCTATCTTGTCCAGATCCAGTTATTTACTTAGTTTTGTTTATCTGGTTAAATTTAATACTTGATCTAGTTTAAATATTAGTCTACAGTCAGCATTTATCTGAGCAGAGACCTACATAGATATAAGTTATCTACATATACATATACATAGATCTGTGATCTGATGATTTTGAGAATGGCCAATACTTGATTCAGACTAATCCTGTTTTATTTATTATTATTATCAACTCCCAAAACACTGTAATATATCTTTATCATACTTCTAAAACTGGTTCTTGACAGATGTGAATTGAGTTCAAGAACAAGACAAAACAAGATATACATGTATAATCAAGTATATAGCACTTAAATCTCAACATTTAAGTTGATGATTTCATTAATTTTTGCCGCAATGAAGCAAAACGGTTTATAACTATGCTAGTATTGCACTACCTTTATGTGAAACACTAACATTATATAAAGAGAAACAACAATATGTATTGTATTAGGATTGAGAAAAAATATAAAAACTGCATTAGATAACATACAATGGATATGACTCCTATAAATGTACCAGATTATATTGTCATAAAACAAATATAGGTGACAATCAGGGTAGATAGAACATTCTGATTAAGTCAACTTTATCAACCTAACAGAAACGTACCATGTCATCCCTCAGCCAAAAACAGAACCACTTGTTTACTAATTGTATTTCTAGTATTGACCCTGAACTTACCAGAACAATTCAAAGTTTTGATGCATTTTCAGTTTTTTGTCACTTGAACTTGGAAACATGAAATTAATAATCTTAACCCTAACAAAACAAGCTTATACTGATGAATACCGAGTCTTAATTCAAACTCAAAATAAATGAAACGAGGTTTAAGTGTGAACAAAAAGAAAGACTTACACAGAGACCCTTAAACAGTGCAAGAGGAATACGACCAGGTGTTCCATAGGAATAAGAGAATTCTGGTGCATTGACAAAGCAGAAAAAGCTAGGTAACAAAACATAATATTTATGAAAGAAGCAATATTCTGTCACATACATCTAATTGGATTCTGTTGCTCTGCTACAGGATAAAATTACAAGGCCAAGGAAGAATTTTATCTCTTTAATCTAAATCATTATCTACTTTTAAATCTACCACTGCACTTTGTCACTGGACATGTTGCAGCACTGGGTCTCCTTGACACAGGGCTACATAAATTGTTTTGTTCAAAGACCATGCTGGAGTTATCAGAGACTTAAACATGATTATTTAGGTATTAACCATAACTGCGCGATAAGAAGTTGTTTTTGAAACTTGAGTTTGAACTTAAAACATGCAAGACGAAAAGATCGTTGAATACTATCCAGTCATGTGTTTGATCCTGCAGTGCATTCTTAACGTAATCTTAAATGTGAAATATGTCCAGCATAAAATCTGCAAGATATGTTGAAATGTGACATTTTTACTTCTTAGAAGTAAAGTTGGAAAGAGAGGGAGAGGTGAATATGATTCAGAACCTGTAGTTTAAAAGTAGTATGTATGAAATTGCACATTATTTCAACACAACACACTTTATATTCTTTTCAGCAGATTCAAGTCTTATTTCAGAAGAAAAGTTACAGTAAAAAGAATGCAAATGTTTGTACTGGTGAAATATTTTCATAAGGTTTTTCATGAATTTTCTTAATTTTTATAATAACCAAATTCACAATAAATCATTAAATATTGTTAGCAATAACAATATGACTTAACTGTGAGCTCGAAATTTAAACACACAAATACTGCTACAAATACACATGACACAAGCTCTCTTTTCATCTATCAATAATTTATTACATATTTTGTAAGTAATACAAAATGATTTACAAACCAAATTTACCTCTAAACCTACAATTCAGTTTGGCATATTATTGTAAAGAAGGCCTCCTATTTTACACCATTTTCAAAATTAAAATGGAAAAAAAATCTCACAACTAACTGAATGACAAATCTCCTGCAGTCTTTTTTTTTCCAATTTACAGGTACAAAATGAAACAGTGATGGTTGTTAAAAAGCCAGCATTGACTGATGAGGTGTTCATATAACAGTAATAATTTACAGCAGTTCATAAGAAATTGTATATATTACTTAAAAGAACTATCTTTCACTAGAATGGCAGAAATAAGCTGTGGTATCATTTTTCAGATGAAGAAACCATTTCAAGCAAGGAAAATTTTCCAAGCAAGGGAAATTACATATCAATTTTTTTTAAAAAGTTCATCAGTACACATCAAGATTAGAAAATATGCTAATGTTTACACATCTGGTCAAATTTTGCATAATAAATTTGTAATGTGTAAAATGATTTGCTACAGTCACATTAAGACACTGCCACGCTGACAAAATACTACAGACACACTGAAATTTGAAACTTTAAATGTATATTAGCATGGAGAAGTGAGAAAAATTCTTGATTGCTTTTGTATGGGAATGGTTTGAAAACAAACAAAAAGTTATTTCTTAAGTATTCCAATATGGGTCTGTTCCATAGACATGGATATCTCAACCTTCTTGTAAGAAAGAGTTTGGCTGGTCAACACTTCATGCTGACCAGCTAAACTCTTGTACTCAGATTGAGATAACCCTGTTCCAGGAACAGATCCATGTCGGATTTTACTTATCTTCTTTTTTTGATGTTATCATCTTAAAATCCATGTCAGAAATTTAAATCCCATCACACAGCATTAAATATCATAACATCACCTAACTGTAAGTTTTGTTTATTATTTGACTCATACCTGAATACTTAGAGATATACATAACAATGAAAAGGTCTAATAAATACTAATGACAGATATCTGACATCTGTGATATTCAATTTTGGTTGGCATCTATTAGATATAGAAAATACATTGTCAATGTCCTTAAGCTTTACTTTGGCAAAACATAAAGACAGCAGTAGCAAGCCTTCAGTAGACTACTTTTTCTTTCTGTCCTAAGCCAAAATACAGTACATTTTTTAAGACACTGATCATGTATTCAAATCTATCCTGCAGCATTTTGTTTTTCTTTGTTTAACAGACAATCAAAATTCCAGTATTTTGTGATACTAGTGAGTTATGCCAAATGACTGAAACACCAGAAGACACAAGACCAAATAATTGTTCCACAGGGAAATACAGTCCCAACCTCTAATGAATGTAATTTATAAGTGAGTGTAGCCATGCAATAACTTTAGTATTTTCACTTTCAAAACATTTCCATCTATTCCACTGACACTGCATCCCAACCGAAACAGATTTTCTCTCAATAAGAACCAGCAGACTGCCATGTTAACTACCTTAAACTTACCTGCAATTGTCATTTATTTGCATGGTACACCTGAGGAAATATCTGTATGGTCTTTTACATGAACATTAAGGAAACCTCTTCCTCGAGCATCTTGGCTACTGGAAAGCTAGACCTAATCAAGTGTCTGTGTTATAAAACTGTATAGATAACTTATGTACATGTATGTCAATATCATGAGGTAAATGAAAATATATACATGTATCTTATTCATTACTGCTTATTAATCTAGTTATATTTCATAGACTAGAACTAAATTCATGGAAATCATTCAAGATACATGCTATTGAAAGTCTTGGCACTAAAATTCACATCTCCATCTCCTTAATTTTACAAATGATATGAAAAAATATAATAATGAAAAGATGGAGGGCAAACATTCTGTACAACTAGTGGTAAGAATTAGGCAAAGATTTGAGTTAACTAAGTTATTAAACAAAGCTCTGAAACACCAGGCCCAGACTCTCCAACTTAATGACTACCTTATACACTCAACTTACATCAACAATATTACAAACAAGAAATAAATCTTTTGTCTTTAAGAAGTGTTTCTTTTATAGAATGAGATAAACTTTCGAAATTTTCGAACGTTATCATAATTCGAAGAAGAGAGTCAACAAAATATTGCACATTGTTTCTGAAACATTAAAATTTCAGTTGCAGTAACACTTTAATCAATTAAAAACAAGATGGCAGAGAATTTCCCCACAAAGTATTTAAATCTACAAATCTTTGTAGTAATATTTCAGTTATAGTGACATCTTAAACACTTTTTGCACAAAAAGATGTGCTGGATTATATTTACAAGTTAAAATTCCTTGATAATGTTTTTGATAGTATAAAATGTGTATTGTTTATCAGCCAATCCGTAAATGCACTAATCTGTTGAAGAAGAATAACATGATCAAAAGCTCTAATAAAAGCTAGAATTAAGAATATCTAAATATCGAACTGCTTTCAGATGGCATTCACAGGCAATATGAATGTCAACTCTTTTAGAAGAGGATACCTAAAATTGTTCACATTACATGCATTCCATTGGCCATACAATGGTAAATATACCACTATAAGAAATCTAGACCCTAACATCCCTTTGATCATAGATACTGGTATGTGTACTTGGGAAACCTGCCCCATCAATCCCTCTGAAGTTATAATGGAATAGTCCATTCTATTGTTCTGATTTTCTTATTTGAACATAAAAGGTAATGCAATGAAACAATTATGTAATTTATTTTTAGAGGGATGTACTTCATTTATCTTATATGTGCATTAAGCATAAACAAGATGCCTAGCGGCCTTTAAGGTCACCTCAGGTAGGCAATATTTTAAGAAAGGTTAAAGTATAAGTAGCTTTCAAGTGTTTCAAAAAAGAAGTTCTTACCAAGTTATTTCCAATTTAAAATAAATAACTTTATTCTGAAAAATTCAATTTTCCTAAAAAAAATTGGAAAAATTCATTCCGCACCCCAGGGGAAAATGTGAAAATCTTAGGTCAATGAAATTCATGGATTTAGTAAAGCATCTTATGACCCTTCCATCCATGAAGAGTATTTTATTCTACCATATCTGGGTGTTGAGAGGGCAATTCTTGAAATTTGAGTCAATTTGACTGCTTTTGGCCCCACCCCTCAGGTCCCTGGGGGCTTGGGCCTGCATAATTAACTACTTTGGTAATGATCCTAGTTGGTTGTTAATATGACTCCATGTGTTTAGTGACAAAGGGCAGCTAGTGTTTTGGCAATGTGCAATATCTATATGGTTATTCATAAACATATGTTGTACTTGAAATTAAAAGCTGTTTGTATAAAAAGGACATATAAAAAAAATGGACCTAAATGATTTACAGGTGGTAAAAGAACATGGATATCTGGAATCTGTAAATCTACGTATAAATGCATCACAACAGAAGCTATACATATCACCGGTGTTTGGTCTTTACTCCTTGAAAGAAGAAAATTGTTGATTCTGGTTTCTGATACTTAAGGTACTGGTATTTCTATCGAAGATTGTCTTTCACATCCTTCACAGATGAAAGTTTCATTGACACAAAACACAGCATCCTGATTTAGTGTATAAAAATCACCTATTGGATTCCAAATGTTGGAATTTTTTGTTTTACTTTAAAGGAACATCCCTTTAAAGTACCTACTCTTCTCTACAGCTGGAAGTTGCTTCTGGACCGAAGATATTACAAGTCTATATCTAAGGCATAGGTTTATTCCTATATGCCATTCAGATCAATGTTCATGGGCATGAGGAAATCATGCATAGCGTATTTCCATGTCCATAATCGCGCTATCCGGTTGAATTCTTTCCTGTTTCCCGCATATAGTTGACCCACTGTTGGCTCCATACAAACATGACAGTAGGGATCTGTTAGTAACGATTGGATACTTATCAATACTTTTGATATTGTCAGTGCTAAACTCCAATTATGATGTATTGAGTCCAACCCTACATCACCATGGCGACTAATATTCGGATGAAATATCTTTGTAATAAATCGTACTTTTGGAGGTCTCATCGGATAACTGTAATATAACAATTCAATCATGTGACATAACATCAAATGAAGAATACATGTCACAATCATTGCAACATGAAAAAACTAACTCTGTAAAAAAAGAAGCAAGGATTCAGCAGAAATCAAAGGTATTTTTTTTTGCACAAATACATTAACATCATATATCATTTACATTTGAAAGGTGTCTATTCCAAATCCATCTAAATAAACTTTGGAACTAGCATGCTTACATTGCACGGTAAATATTTGTATACAACTGATAAATGCTGTTATAGACAACTTTAGTAAATACATTTCTCTTCATTTTACCATCAAAAACTTTAATAGGTATTTGGTAACAGGTTAAAGCCTATATAAGCTTTCTCCTTTGGGTGGGCAAATGGATACAAACAATGCTTAGTACATATCTATCACACATTCACTGCAACACGAACTGGTATCTTATATATTGTAATAAATGACAAGTTACATCCCCTTAAATACAACTTATGGGCAGGTAAACTGAAAAAGTCAAGCCCAATCATCTGAAATTTGAATTGTAAAAGTGGAAAATCACACAATATTTACCTTTGTGGTATCTGTAAGTATAAGAGAAATAGTCCTCCCTCATATGGACTTCCTTGGGGACCAGTGATGGAGGCTTGCCAGTGACAGCAGTGCCGATCTAGAGGAGTAGCTTTAATCCCCTCCGGAGGGTCTGACTTTAGAGTCTTTAGCTCACTCCTCAGTCGACGATGTCGCCACGAGTTCTCCTCTATTGGAGGTGTACTCTGAAAGGCATAATGGAGAGTGTAAATTTGACCAGGTAATATAGTTCTTTCATTTAGTATTGTTTCTCCTGAGTTCTTTCAATATGTCTACATTGTATATGGTATAGTAATCATGATTATGACTAGAATATATATTATCCATTGGAAATTAAAAACAAAAAATTAATCTTTAAAACGTTTCCAAATTTTATTGAATATCAATACAAGGGAGATAATTGGGTTACCTGTAACATCATGCTCTCTAAACAATATTTACAGGGAGAGCTCTCTAATCTGAAAACAAATGGAAAAGAACAAAGATTTTAAAAAATCACAGAGAATGAATCCTTTGAGAGTTACCAGATGCATTTATCCAGTATGTAATTGTATTGATAACATATAAAAACATCATATTCATCAGATGAAATGTCTCTGTAGTCAATGTTTGTTGGTTTATTGCCCTGTCAACAGCCAGTCATTTTGAGGTTGAGTCTCGTTGGTGAATTGCCTCAGTGAGCAACATACAGAAGGCCTGTCACATGCAATCCAGAGCAAATAAGGTAAAATGACAGCTGAAACTGGTTTTTTTCTCAGCTCCCTAAGAAACAAAAAACATGTAGGGAGCACCAAACCATTCATCTTGGGTCTTTCCCTGGGGTTATATAGGCTAACTCTCTACAATTGAGCTATTATGGTCACACATTTGTATATATATCAAATATCATATAAACATTTATCATTATGATAAACTATCAAATCCTTTTTCTATTGACAAGGTATTTAAATTATAGACAATAGTGAACAGAAAAAACAAAGCCAAAGAAGACAGTTTTGACCCAAAGACCTTTATAATCTCATAATTAATTGTGAATTAATCACCCAAAAATCATAACACTGTACATTACATCATAAATAAATTTGAATGTAATCTCAATGTGAATACAATTTCTAAAATACTTCACAAAGTGATTCTGTTTTTGCTTTAGCTCGGGAATAAGATTACTCTATCTTGTATGCGGTTGGAAAAGACAGCTAGCTTATGCTATGGTACTTCTGACAATTTAGTTTTATCATCATTTTATATCGGGCCAAGATATCCCTGTCTACAGAACAGACCTTTGTAAAATTCTGTTATTATCTTAGTTAACTTTTCAGCTTGTATAAAACACTTACAGCTTTGTGTAAATTGTTTTCCATGTCTTTACTCTGTACTGTGGGTAAAATAATGGCCATCGCAGTTTACAAAACTCTTTCCACTGAGAGTCAGTAGTTTCACCTTCCAAGATCTGTCTCCACCTTGAACATACACGTCCGGCTGTCCACAGTGAAATATCATCAAGGTATTTAAATACCACTAAAAGCACTGAAAAACCAAAATAATGAAAAAATACGTAAGTCAAAGGGAATTCACTGATCTTGGAAAATTATATGATGTATATGAATATTTAAAAGGTTTATCAATACACTGACAACTGATTTTGCAGTCCCATTTTCACATATACTACTTGCAGAGTGTTAAAAGTTATACATGTGGATTTCCTTGATCAATAAAATCATTACCACACACTCATATATAATATATATCTACATACACTGTATATATAATTGAAATAAGAGAAATGCTTTATGTATCATACATATAAAAACAAAACATTAACGTGACAACTAAAAATCCTAATCACAACCTCTAACATCATAATGTAAGTTACTATGTAATGTACCTATGGCATCAATACAATCACCCGAAGATGGCTGCAAGGCTTGAAAATGTTAGCGATTGTGATTTGGATTTTTAGCTGCCATGTTAATGTTTTGTTTATATATATATATAGATCTCCCTCTGATACTCTTACATTAATAACATATTTTTTTGATGGACTTGGGGGTGATTTATTCAATCTACATGTAGCTTTTATGTTTAGATTCCTCTTTGCCCTATGTCCACTTTGACAAACATTAACACTTCAACTCAACAAACTATAAATAAGACTGAATGATTTTTCTTATCATCTTTAAGTGATAATTTTTCAAAGAGATGTTTTAATGTTTTTAAAACAGATAGTGACTTTTATGAAATTTTGCATTACCTTTAATGGATAATGGATGAAAATTTCTCAATAAGACCTGCTTTATGAACAATTTCGCTAATTCAAATTTGAAGGAATTAGGAGAATTATCATTCTGCAATTATTAACATTTATTTTTGCAAACTGATTTCAAAATGCATGCAAGTAATTTGTTTGAATTGGAACTCAAAGACATTTATCATAAGAATGAATATGATCCATTTTCACACTTTTTTGGGTAATTATCAAAATGAACTCTTTAGAAAGATAATCTAGGGTATTTACACTTAAGAATTTCTCTCAGGTTATTGATGTGTAAAATATTGATTTATTATAATTTATGTAAGAGACCTTCTGGGGGCATAGAATCCACTAAACCTTCTGGCACAAGGTCTTTTTCTCTAGGCATTGTAAGTGAAGATATACGTTCTGCAAGTTTGTCCATTTTATGGGTGACACCAGATTTCACCCTCCTTGTCTCCTGAGCATCCTGACTTCCATTTGTGTAGAAGTCAAATGCAGCTCCTGGTTCCTCATTCCCCGAGTCAGCATCTGAATCAGCCTTCTGATAATAGAAAATTAAAATCAAAAGATTGAACATGCATATGTTCATATCATATAAATTAGGCCAGATATTCAGTTTATGTTAACAAACAGATTATGTTAACTTTCCAACATCAATTGAATAAAATTCTATTAACAACAAAACAGCAAAATTAAAACATTTAAAAATAACTTGGATGTGATGATCTGTAAAGAAAGGTACAAGCTATGTAACTGAAAAATTTAATTTAGATTTTGTTCACCTCATTATAAATTTCCGGTTCTCCATCTTCTGAGTTGATGTCTGATGTAAATAGGAAGAGATGACAGGTACTACACACAGGCTGACCGAAGTTGGATCCATAAAATCCATCGCATATCATACATCTTGAATACTGGAAATACATAAAGAAAAACCTTATCATGTTTGTACAAAAAGAATCCAAATTTGAAGACTAATTCTGATGTCAAAGACTATCACAAGAACGGGAATATATGGGTTTATTTCGGCAAAAAAGTAAGATGGACCACACATTCTGAAATTATTTGGAAACAGGAAAATAGAAGGAACTGGTTTCAATTGAATTCAATTTTGATGGTCAAATGGACCTTCATTGAACGCTGAAAGTTACAAGTTGAGGATATGGTAGAATACAAATAAATGCCACGAAATGTAAGTCGATGAATAGCTCTGATACCTCTATTTTAAGAAATTCAGAAATGTTTGACTTGGAACAACTGCTTCCGGTCTTGGTGTCAGCCATATTGTTTGGGAATTACCTATTTGGGCGCATGCGTCAAACTGAGGATTACTTCCGGAACCACCGGTGCATGCCAAACAGCGACAGCGAGTCGGTAAGTAAGAACTCGCCTGGTAGTTCAGATAACTTTGCATTGTAACTGCTGTTATAGTTCCGAAATTTACAAGACATTTACTGTGTTTACCAATTAGAATGCCTATAGCATGCTGAAATGTGAAAGAGCTTGTCTATCAAGTCATGTTTCTTTTGGTGCGAGTTGATCGTTCATTTGTTGAGTAGGCTCCAGAGTTGACGAATGGGGGTCCCCTCATTCTATATGATTCCTGTATTTTTGACTGGATTAAGCTTAATGTAGTGTGGCAATTTCAAGCAATTATTCAGTACCTTTATACTCTACCTGTGCTTTCTGTTCGACGTAATTCTTAATCTCAGTTCTCTAGTAAAATTCATACAGTGTCCCACCTTTATAGTGTACCCCTAACATTAACAATGTCTTCAGTTAGGAGAGTGCTTAAAAACTGGGAATAAAAATCCTGTATTTCATGAATTTGTGGATGGAGGTTTGTAACCTTATTCGGGAGTAATGAGGAACACGGAATTAATTGTAACGAAATATAATAGCAATCAAGCTAACCAGAGACATATTTGTGTATTATATATATATCTCAGTTTATACCTTATGAAAAACATTTTTATTTTTTTGTTTTTTTTTGGGGGGGGGGGGGGTGGGGGGTAAAATGCATGCACTTAAAAGTGACAGTTGAAACTAACTTTGGATGTTAATGAACAATATTCAATCATACTGCAATTACTTTTAATTGAATATATCACAGTAATCAGTAACTATTTAGATAATTAACTGAAATTATTTCTTTCAAAACTGATTGTTGGATGATATTTATAAACACCATAAATATTAAGTTTTAGGTGTCACTTTTGTGCTAGGTGATCACCTCACTGAACAACACATGGGAGACCCGTCAATGACATCAAGAGATAATAGCTAGAGTAATGTGCCTTGCCCAATGACAATCATAGCAACACACACATGTGATGATGTGTGGAAATAAGTAAAATTTTGGATATATTGATGTTATGAACAGTCTATATTATCTGTGAAACATTTGTGCTCACGAAGTGTTGTTTCTTTTATCCTGATATTATTTTAATTTTGAATGTGAAATAAGTAAAAGTCCCAGTCAGATGTATATTGTTTCTATTTATTGTGACCAGTTGTACAAGAATTAAGTATGATTTTAAAGCATGTTGTTAGATCAAGGGAGGTAATATCAAGTTCTTAGATATTGTATAGTTGTAAGCTTTTAACACTAATGTCTGAGACGAGATGAACTTCAGTGGTTTACAGCTTAAACAATTTTATTCAAAACACAATAATATTTCACATACTTAAATTGGAAAACAAGTTTAAAACTTGGCTAGTAGAACCCATATGTAGTGTTTGTTGATTCTATATATTACAATCTATTCCAAAATTATCTAATGTCACATTTTAGATCTGTAATCGTAAAAAAATATTTGGTTTAATATTCACAGTTTCTATATTTCTATACTATATTACATTTTGCTTTATATTATGATCCATGTTTTTTTATTTTTTTTTGCAGATTTAAATTATGAAGATGGTCCGACTAATACTGGAGTTATATGGAAAAGCCTATTAGTTGTTGTCTATGAGGATGTTGAATTTCTTCACCTTTTGATAATTTGGATTTTACTATGAAGTACCAATTATCAATTTTGCTTGATTTGTATTAATGATATTGTTATGTGATATCAATAAAGACGCCTTGTCATCAACAATAAACCAACACAATGACAGAAGCTTTGCCAAGAGGAAATTTTGGACCAGGACCCACTACTCTACCAGTCATTTCCTGGTTTGAATTTCTGCTGAATGATAAACTGCTGGAAAATCATCTACAGCTAGAAAACCCAGGTATGGCTTTGAGATTTTAATCTCTTTTTCTCAAAGTGAGCTTTGGCTGTGGCATAGTGTATCCATGGCCCATCTGGCCTCAACTTTTCTGTTTCTTTTGACTACTTCTCAACAACCAAAAAGCAGAGAGAACTGATATTGAGTATGTATCCTATTGGGATAAAAAAATTACCAAGATTGTTCAAATAAATGGTCTTGACCCACATTAAAGGTCGCAAGAGTCAAATGTTTTGAAATCTTCAAACAATCTATGTATCAGTAACCAAAAGGTCTACAGCATGCTGATATTGGGCATGTTGTATGCGAGGATGAAAGACTTTCAAGTTTGCTGAAATAAGGGACCTTGACTTACATTTAAGGTCACAGAGGTCAGATATATAAATATTTCTAAAACAATATCAATAACCAAAATGCCCTGTGTGTTGATATTGGGTCTGCAGTATGGTAATACTGAAATTATCAACACTTTAAAGCCAGGTTTGACTTGAATTTACTTCAGTCCTAAACATGCAATAGACATAATTTACTTATATTAGTTATTTATGATTCAGTTTGTCATTGAATCTTTTATATTTACAACCCTGAACAATTTAGCAGGTCTAGATAATTAATATAATTATCAAGTACTTGTTAGTGTTACACTGTGTTACAAAAGATTCCAAATTTTGAAAGATAATCTGACACCAGTCAGGGTCTAAAACACAATTGTTCTGTACATTTAAATGATATACATCTATCTACCAAGGGAAGTACCTGCAGTGACCATAAATATATATATCAGGTTTCACAAGTAATTCACATGTGTAGTGAGACACATGTGTCGCATGTGTATCACAGTCACTGAAGCATCACTAACGAGATCAAACTGAAGATATAATTAAAACTCTTTTGTTTTAAGCCATTCATTAATTAGTAGGTCATCTTATCAGATGAACCATGTTATTGAAGCTGTAAATCTAAGTTAAATGTAGGACTTACATGTTATTTAAACATAACCTGTCTTCATAGAATTTATATATCAGTGTACTTGTGTATACCTGTGGAACCTTTAAGTAAAGGTCAGAGGTCATTTGCTGTGATTTAAATTTGTTTACTGTCTTGTTACTTTTACACACATACCATTTGGTAGTCAAATTAAGAAAGTTTTTTGTCAGCATGGCTACATTCTTTACATTACAAAACTAATCAAGGTATTTGCATGTTTCGGTTGAAAATGCACAGTAAAAGAAACTGAGATTGATTTAACAAATAGCTAATTAGATGGTTATTCAGTAAGCAGGAGGAATGGTTGATGTATTTTGTAGTGTGTAAATATACTAATAGTTTTGTTATATAGAGATGATGTTTAAGACTTCATGACACAAAAGGTTGTTCTGTAATCATCTGAAACATACATAAAAATGAAGTTTAGGTCACCTTAAAGCAGTAATTTTCAAGAAGAAATGACACATGCCAGATTTATTAATAGGTGACTTCATTATTCTATCATTCAGATCCTACACCTGTCCAACTGATTATCCAGTTTCTACAGCAGGCAGAGGCACATCAGGCCACCAACAATGTACAACAGATTATACCCAGGGAGGCACCTTCACCACTGCCATCCATCCCAACCAGCAATGGACAGGGGCCAGACCAAATCAAGACAGAGGAACCAGGTAGTTTATTACCTTTCTATATGTTCAACCATCCCTCCCACCCCTCTTCACCAACAATTGTCAAAGTACAAACCATATTTAAACAGAAAAACTAGACAATGTACTACCTGTCTATATCAACCATACCTCACAGTCCTTTTCAACATTAATGGATGGGGCAAGGGAAAATCGAGACAGCCTGTCCCTTTATTGTCCAGAGCATAATTTTGCCTATTAATGTTAAGGTCTGCAACCTCTTAATTACAGTGTTATTTCCATTTGTTAAGATTTTTGGTCCAGAGCCTACATTTAAAATGGGAAATTGAAATGTGATGTATACATCAGTCATACAAATCAAGACGCAGTGTAGCAAAGTCAGGGCCCATGACCCTTCAGTACAGAGTTATTGCCCTTTGTAAAACCTTTGTGTCCAATAAAGTTGTTTTGAGGGAGTATTTACAATTTCTCTGATACCCTTTGGTGTAACCACCCATTGCCCCATTCCAATCGACTATAATCATAGGGAACATCATTTGAGTCAACACCAGGTATTCAGTATCAAAGCATTGGCATACCTAGGATCAAAAACATTTTATGGACATTTATGTGATTCTAATAGCTATAGATATCTTCCTTTTGCAAGTGTTTATATGTCAACATACTGAATCAGATATTTCAAACATACTTACTTAAAACGATTGATGATTGTTGAGGGGTGAAGAGTGCCAGGTTATTATTTTAGAGAAAAATTGATAAACTGGAGTGGGGAATACCTCAGACCACATTTTGTGTTTTAAGATTTTATCTGTGTGAAAGACAGTGGGTAAACATATCACTTAATATTTGGTATTGTGTTAGGTGTGTAATTAATCAGTATTGGCTGTTTATAATTGTTTGACCAGCTTAAGTCAACATTGACAGATATCTTTCCCAGTACCTACAATACAGTGTTACACCTCACCGACCACTTTATAGTCAAGATCAATATCTGGTATAGACTGTAGAACCTCTATATATATAGGGAAGGAGATTTATTCAGGAACATCAAGGTTTACTTATATGTACATGTTGAAATAGAATTTAGATGAAATCTTCAAATCAGATGATCACTATTTTGAAATATTTTCAGAACTCAACAAGTGAATCATTACCTGTCTATAGTAGCCACCCCAATGCTCCTGTCTATGGTGATCACCATTGTTTTCCAAACACCTATCAATAGGGACCATCCTTATATTCCCATCACCTGTCTATAGTTATCACCCTTGTCTTCCGATCATCTACCTATATTGATCACCCATACGTTCCTGTTTTCCTGTCTATTGTGACCACTCCTGTCTTCAAATCGCTTATCTGTAGTGACCACCATTGCATTTCCATCACCTATCTGTAGTGATCGCGGCTGCATTACAATCACCTGACTGTAGTGACCACCCCTGCGTTACAATCACCTGTTGGTAATGGACATCTATGTTCCTATCAACTGTTGAGTGATCACCCCTGTGTTCCCATTATCTGTCTGTTGTTCTTACCTCTACATGTATTCCTATCGTTTGTTAACAATTATAAAATTGTCAACCTTAATTACTTTTCTATAGTGGCCACCTGTGTATTTCTTTTACCTGTCCATAGTGACCACCCTTGCATTCCTATCACCTATCTGAAGTAACCAACCTTGTATTCCCATTCTCCTGTCTATTTTGACTCTTCCTGTGTTCCCATCATCACTCTATAGTGACAACCTCTGCATCCCTTTACCTGTCTACAGTGATCACCCTTAATTACCTGTCTTTAGTGACCACCTGTGCATGTTCATCACATGTTTAGTGACCACTCCTGCATTCCCATCACCTGTCTGTAATGACCACCTTCACATTTCCACTACCTGACTAACCTGACTATCCCTGTACTCCCATCAACTGTTTACATGCTTAGTAACTCGTGTATACTTATCACCTGTCTATAGTCACCACCCATGTATTCTTACTCATATATACCTATCACCTGTCTATAATTATCACCCTGTATTCCTAGTACCTGTCAATAGTCACAATTCCTGTATTCCTATCACCAGTCTATATTAACCTCTGGCATTCCTATTACCTGTCTATAGTCACCACCCCTGTATTTCTGTCACATGTCTATAATCACCACTCTTGTTAATACATAGAAAACAAAAATTGTTGCCTGTAGAAATGGAGGTCGTATACATGATAGAGAAAAAAGTAGAAGTTGTTGATGGTTTTTTTTACCTGGGTGTGAAACTTAAATACAATGATAAATTCCATCAGATACAACAACAGTTGTCTGACCAGGAACGTAAAGCTATGTTTGCACTTTCATCACATTGTTCTAACTTAAAATTGCAAAACCTTGTTGCATTCATTTGATACATATGTTTGCAGTATATTGCATTATGCATGTGAAGTTTGGGGTTATTCAAAGTGTATTAATAAAGAAAAGATTTGTTACAAAATTTTAAAAGTTAAGAGGTCCATATGTAATGCAATGATTTATTTTGAATTAGGTTGATACCCATTACAATGCATAAGAAAGTATAGATTTATCAAATACTGGTTAAAACTAATATAATAAAAACACTGTATTTTATACACTGCATATTCCTTTTGAAGTAGTAGTAATATAGGTAATTGTTTTAACTGGGTAAATCATGTTAAACATTGTATTTTTTCTCTCAGCTTCGGAGATGTATGGACAAATCACTAAGCTTATGATTATAAAAGTATTTCATATTTGATCAAGCAAAGAGTTTCTGACCAAAGTCAGCAACACCTGAGAGGATTACTGGAGTCCTCATCTAAATGTACTCTATATAAGCATATTACAAATAATTTTACTCTGCAATATTATTTGGCAAAGTTCATTCCTATAAGATATAAAATTTGATTATCGAAACTTTGCTCTTTGCACATAATTTGGCCATTAAAACAGATAGAACAGAAAAATTGTCAGATATAATAATATACCAAAATCCTTTGCCTGAGTTGTAATTTAGACACAGAAGATGAATATCATTTTTCTTTTATATGAAGGAATTAACAAAATTTAGAATGAAATATTTAACACCATTTTATTGGTGAATCTATAATCATATACAATTGCTAATTGTCGATGATATAAATGATCTTCATAAACTAGCTAAATATATATTTGAGGCCAATAAAGTACGACCATAATTGAGATAATACTTATCTTACCTCATATCTATATTAACTAGTCAGTGTGTAAATTATAAGATTATGTCCAATATATATTGTAGTCATTTCTTGTTACATTAATAACACTGTATTTGTTGTTGTTGATGTATACATTAGTTGACTATGGTGATATATGCACAACTATTCTTGAATGCATATTATGTAATATCCTTTGTTAAATATATGTTTTCAACAAGCTGATGATGATGGTATAGGCATGACCGTTGAATGTTTCCTTTGTTATATAACATTTGTAAAAAATCTTATGTATCCAATAAGTTACTTACAGAATAAAATTGAATTGAATTCATGAATTGAAAGTCCTGGCTAGAAAACTTTGTAATCAGGGAATCTTTATTGACTTGGTTAAGGACAAAAAATTATATCATTTGATTGCAATTGCAAACAAAATTCAAATTTCATCGCCAAAGTTCACATATGTAGTGCTTCCTGTTGTAGAAAGGATTTTCATCCTTTGCCTTGAAAAAAATTTGTGTTTAAGTTGAAAACCTAGTCTAGAGACCCACTTTGCCATTGTTAAGTAAATAATGATGAGCCTTCACACTTGATAAATTTGTTACAATCTGTTAAATAGTGATGTCAATAGACATTGAATATTTTGTTCTATAAATAATTTCTAAGGACTTTAAATTAATTATTGTTAAAACAACAGTAATCAAATCCTACAGAAATTATGATGATCATCAGAATTTTTAAAAACATTTGTTATAATGAAGAATTCCTACCAGTAGATTCTCATCAAGTCTTTTGTTGTATAACACTTCATGAGTACCAAAGTGTTGTTTTGAGGGAGGTCAGCATATATACCTCTGTGTCTGGTCGGTCACAAATGTTATCAGATCTGTCAGTGCTAATTTAACCTTTTGGTTCTAGTTCAGGTCTCAAGGATTGCTTGCTGTCTGACATAGGCACATGCTATTTATATCACTGTTATTGAACACTTGTATGGCTTTGTGTTATGATTTTTGTGCTGATCAAAAAACAGTCCACAACAAATCTGGAGACAATAAAGGGTATTATATTTTACAACAACCTTGAAGGTGGTTAAAAGGGATTGATCAGTTACCATATTTATCTTGTATGATCAGATGCGTCCATAACATTCAGCATTATGTGTAAAAAAATTACAGACACAAGTTTAGCAATACAAACAGTACTTCATTTTCTACCTAGATTCAATTTCACTGTAGGTAGTAATTTTTTTTTTTTTTTTGGGGGGGGGGGTGGGGTGAGTTTAGAACATCAATTCTGAAATTGTGATGTCCCAATACTAAGAAATGTTGTGGAATATAAAAATTTAAGCAAGATCCACAAGAAAATCATGAGTCCATGACTCAAATAAAAGAATCCCAAAATCACTGTATGAGTACATTAAATGGCTTGATTAATAAAATGTCTGAAGATAGAAAGGACCAAAATATGTGATTTGTGTAATGAGATGAAGTAATTATGGACTCTAAGGTAAAAATAATTACAGGTGTTTCCTGTTACATGTCTGAAGCAATTACGTGTAGGATAGATTAGTAGGTGAAAGTTTAAAAAGCAAAGAAAAAATGTGCTATATGTGTTACTTATACCTAGTAGTCCTTCATTTCTTCCTTGCAAGTTACCTAGGAAAACGCTAGGGTATAGGCAAAAAAGATAAAGGGTTAGTGGAACAGGTAACAAAGAATGTATTTGGTCTCAGGGTGTCCCAACACATTCCACATTTAGTGGAAGAGGAAATTTCTCTCATACATGTGATAGAAAATGTTGATTAGAATTGAGCTAGAAAACAGTATAACAATATAAAGAACTTAGACCTAGAGGAATTTGAATCTCCTTTCTTTTGAGTAATCCCTCAAAAAATGATAAATGAAAGGGAATAAAATGTGTTTGTCCTCTGCAAATATACCTACATAATGTTATACATTGATCTAGAGACATCTTTGATGATCTGTAAATCTAGGGACCATTTCCCTAACTGAATGTGTATAAATATACTATACAATATGAACAGTTAAAATTCAACAGACAAATTTATTCATTGTATTTATTCACAATCGTGATTTATTGAGTCTAGTATAATGGACATTTTTCTCTCCTGGTGATCACCCTGTAATCGTTTCCCATGACAAACATTTACCATTCATATACCATGTGGTTCTATTCATAACAAGAAATGTATGCAGTTGTTAACTGGATTTAAGTAGTTAAGTTGGTATAGACCATAGGCTGAAGAAACAGGAGAGTTCCTATATAAGTGTAGTAAACAGCTGTTAATAGCATCAAACTAATACATGCAACCTGAAATTTAGAATTGTTCAAAGTATCTTGTTTTCTTTCATCTTCTTTTGATAGAATTTTACACGATGTTAGTATGAAGTTTTGCTGTGTATGTAATTCACCATTAAGTACCTGGTAGCTGTTATTGATAAAAGATAAGTTGAAATGAAATATACACTTCCTAAGAGAATTAAGCAAGCATTATGAGATCAATATTGTTAGATACAAATTATATAATTTTATAGATCCAGATGTAGAGTAACATCGTGATGTTGATTGTTTTTGATACTTTCTTATATAGGGCATTTAAGAATAGGGACAAGCTAAGGGTAGTTGAATTGCAACAAGTTGGTATTTATTTAATAGTAGTGTCAATTGATTTTGCTCGAACAGGGCATCTACAGGACAATTAGGACAATTAGCTTCTTGAATTATAACAAAAAGCATCTTATTGGATACACAATACTTTTAATAAGCCCGTCCAGAAACTCGAGTTTGAGGAAATGTGTTAACCCTTTGTGCATATTGGTTGATAAACACAGCATTTTTTATTTTGAAAATCCTTTTATTTTTACCTTTCTTTGAATTGTTGTTGATAGAATTCTGCTGTTAGTTTGAATATTGAAACACATTAGAGGTCTGAGTAATGTTTGGAATCCATCTAAAATCTGGAATCAATTTAAAATCATGCCGAAAATTGTAGTTTTTACAACATTTATTTTTCCTCATTAATGTCAATAACATCAGCTAACAAATTGCATCAAATTTGATATTCTTACATGTTTTGCATTTGAGATTAAGGAATAAAATGCAACTCTCAGAATTTTTCATTTTAACAAGCCTCTGGTGAAATAAAGTAAAAAATTTGCAATGAGTTTTTATAAATCTCATATAAATGGAAACTCATGCATTATCCACAATGTATTACATGTTACTGTCTGTTTATCATATTATTGATGTTATTCTAGGCTTTATGATTTTGATACTCTATTTCAGAAACAAAACCACAAATAAAAGAATTGAAGAAGGTCACAGCTCTCAAGTTGTTAGCACTGAAAGTTACAGCCTACCTCAACTGGAATCTCACATTGCTCCTGAAAAGGTTTGTCAGTTCACAGAGGACAGAATATTTTAAGTGGAAAAAATATTTGATAACTAAATTATTAAATTTAATTATTTCAAATGCTAGAGTTAGAATAAGGCACTGTTAGACCTGGGAGCCATCTTCTAAAACTAGCATAATGAAATGACCACTGCTACAAACGGTTTCATCCCACTAAGAGGGGAATGCAGGTTGTCTGCCCACGTCGTCAGAACAATGCAATTGTCCAGGATATGATACCTGGACATGGGAGGAGTTGTGGAGACAAAACAGTTTCAACAAACCAATCAATAACTAGATATGATGCCAGTAAAATAATTTGAGTAAATACCAATCAAATTATTGTTCTTAATTACCCAATGACCCTGTACATTGGCATTAAAAAAAGTAAATTTTGAAACGGTTTAAGAGGTACAGAAATTTGCAAAAATATATCTAAAATTATATATAAACAGTATGATAGTCACAATTTGACATTTCTAACTAATATATGAAATTATACAATTGTGATAGTTTGAATGAATTAAAGGAAGCTGTGATAGCTCTGTTACAAGAGCATTGGACGGAGGTCTGAGACTGCTTAGTAAAACGCCTGATGTGTGTGGTTCAACACTCTCTACCCATAGCCATGGCAGTTTGTGTTTCTTATGAAGCTGAGAAATAAAATAATCTGTGTTAATATGGTCATGTCCAATCATTTAGTTAGCCACCAGCTACTACAAGGAAACCTATTTCAAAATAACCCTGGCTGTTGACAGGGCAATAATGCTAGAAAAATAAAAGATAATTTATTAACTACCTTAATTAGTGCAAATATTCTCTAACGTAAATCCTATCATTGAAGAGAAGTTCAATATTGTATCCTATATTTTTGGTAATATTTTTTTCCTTACAAAGCGTGCCCCTGGTGATGCTGCATGCACTTCTGAATGAGTTGTTGAAGATCACACTACACCAGGATGTGGACACAGTCAGTGGGTCTGTGATGGAGTATGAGGAGATTTCTGATCAGGCAGTTTTTGCACTACAGCTCTATTATCGCTGGTGTCTTCTTGCCGTTGTCAAGGACAGTTTTCCTGCACGTCCTGTCAGGTCGTTTCTACAAGTGTAAGTTATCTCCCCTTCCTAATACAGCTTCCAAAGCAAGTGTTTATATTACTTAACAGGGCTTCTACTCATTTGGAAAACTGTCGTTTTATATCATCTTGAGTGGTCGTTTGGTACAAGTGTAACAGCTTTCACCTGGGCATCTGGGGTTCGATTCCCGGAATGAACCTGATAAGGTATTGGGGCCACCCGCACAACCAGATGGGTTTTCCCCAGTTACCGCTACTTTCTCACATAGAATGACCCCTGGTGCACTTAAATTTTTAAAGAGTAAATTACCACACTAATGTATAATCTTCATGCCTGACCCACGGGAAAAAATGTTTTGGCTTACAATCCTGAAAATATGGTAATATTTTGAGAATTTGGCCATATAATGACTCAAATAAATCCAGTTGGGAATGGGGCCCATATTCAGCTCCACAGAGCCCCTAGAAACAGCACTGTTTGAACAAAGTTTATTGTCGTCTCTCAAATGAATTTGCTTACATGAGAATTGACATGTCTGTGATACATTATACAATAATGTTTATAATATCTATAATGTCTTTTTCTATGACTAGTAGATAACTCTCTCGAGGTCTGATGAGTCTTGTATAATGTTAAGGATACCGTTATGAAACTGGCTGAAATGTTTATTGAAAATCAAACATAGATACGAAAATAACCAAAGATGACACAAAATTGTATATAAACTTGTCGTTAAAATTTCATGAAATATCAATGTTGAATTTCAATCCAAGAAGCTTTGCTAATTTTCCACTTTTACATGTGTTTTTTTTCTGCAATCAAATTCAGAATTTTAGAAGACAATTACAGTTAATATTACATTCCCATTTGATACCATGGGATCAAGGTGGGACTTATAATTTGATGATAATATCCACCTGTTTTCCTACTTTACAGACAAGGTCAGCCTGATCCTACAATGGCTTTAGCAGCAGCCAATGAAAACCTGATTAGGACAGTAAGTATCATTAAAGCCTCATTATAGCATATCTATAGAAGGAGGGGATGGACATATTTGTGTGCTTTAATTTGGCTTAAAGTTAGTCACACAAAATAAAACTTCAATTAGAACAGAGAACAGACAAATCACACATTTACATAATCATATGTAATTCATACAGTCACAGCTGTATATTGTCACTTAATCATTTTACCTTTGATGTGAATTTAAGATCAAGATGTTACTTATGTAGGTGTTAGAATCTCTTGTATTAATATCTTTAGCTAGTTTCTTTTTCAACAACATCAAAAACATTTCAGAATTAGATTAATGTTATAAAGGAAAAGAATACAGTGAAGAATGTGTATGTTAAAAAGTATTATGTATGGCGAGACTCTCTAACTACTTTCTATTGTAGCTAAAAGAGAGGACAGCTACGTCAGTGGCTAACCTAGAAAAGTGTGTCCACTGTGGAAAGACCATCAAGATGCCAACAGCCAATAGCTTCCGAATTCCTGATGAACACACAGACGAGCCGCAGTATGACTGGGACACATCTCTCTCCATCACGCCAGACGAGTATAATTGTCAGGTGGGTTTCTCTGCTGTTAGTAGTAGTTTATTAGATATTTCAGTCTCCTGTTTGCAGCAGAAGAGTGGAGGTATTTGATATTTTCTTTTGATCATATTTTATTACTTACAAGTAAAGGACTTTGAGAAAATAAGAAAAAACAATGAAAACAATTTTGTTTTTTTTTTCTTCAGAATTTCAGGATTTCAGTTTCAAAAAGAGTATTTTCTAGCAATATTGAAAATAATATGTGAAGTGCTTTGGTTGAAATTTAAGAATTACTGTTTTTTTTTTTCTTTTTTTTTTTAATGGAAAATTTGTGTTTTGTAAACCAACTATTTTATACAATTCTGTCAATACAACTTTGGATTAACAGGTTTTGAATGGAAAAACTGATTATTTTCTTGATAATTGGAATGTTCAATTATTTTTCAGGTATTTTTTATTGATGAATTGTTAATGAAATATGACAATGTCTTCATTTTGTTTGTTGCAGATATTTTATGATATAGGGAACTTCTACTTTTATGAAAAGGGTTATAGTCATGCATATGTTATGTTCAAGAGATGTACAGAATTATTTGACCATGTAAGTAAACTGGTACTTAATCAAAACTAATGATATAATAAAATGAAAAACAGCATTTACATACGTTTAGCCATATCTGTTATAATTTGTTTTTTGTGTATGAAGACGTGTCTGACTTTCTGTTATTTATCATTTTGCAAATATATTAAGTAAAATCAGTCATTTGAAGTCTTATTTCATTTAAAGATGTTTTATCTTGACATGAAACAATTACTTACTGTAAATGTTGTTATATTTGAAAAAAGGGGTTTGTTAGGATTTCAGCAGGAAAACTGTACAAACAGGAATTATTTTCATAGCCAATATACCTTTGCATATTTTGATTTATTTTTCAATATCTATTTAAGAAATATATCACAATTTCATACACATGGTTGAGATTTATGCATGCAAATGGCTTCCTCATATTTAATTTAAATCTTCCCCAGATTGTAAATCCCCAGGTGTAAATTTCATTGTTTATGCTAATTTTCTCCTATAATTACAGTTAACATCACCAGTTTACTGTAATATAGACGAGACAAGACTAAGAGGTTACATGACAGGGTGTCACAGTCTCAGAAGTGTGACAGAAAACCAGGAAGTTAAGCCAGACAGTCTGTATGAACAGGCCGAAAATAGCAAGAAAAACCAATACACAGTAAGCGAAAAAAAAGTCTGGCATGATGGAAATATGTGTTCCACCAGAAAAAACTTGAAAAACATTAAATGAAGAATGCTACAAATCTGAAATTTTTCTTTCAATGACCATTACTATTCTGCTGTAAAGATGTTTTGGTTCTGGTATCTTCCGTTTTGTTATTAGTTGAAGTAACAAAATACAAAATTGTCATATACTAGAAACTAAAATTAAAATTGAAGCGTATGCAGTAAAGGTGAAATATAAAAAAGCACTATTTCTTTTATTTCAAAAGCTTTAATTTTTTAGAGATTTTTCAAGAATTTGATAAAATTGTGAAAAATTTATAAGCTGAAATGTTAATTATATTAAGGAAACTTTAATCCCTTTCCAGATTTCATCAAAATATATAGCCATTATTTTTTCTAGGACTCTGAATATTCAAAACATGTGAATGAAAAACCATTACAGCCTTAACCATTTTTTCTTAATATTTAGTTAGTATGATATAACTTACAGTATTCAATTTCTTACAGGACATAGTGGAGGTACTTCTGGCAGACAACATGAAACAAGAACTAAGCACATCTTATCGCAGTGATGTGGAGGCAGACATCGCAGACAAGGGTGACAGGTACAATTCAGTCTTAGTTTTCAGATCTTCAGCCACAAAAATAAGTAAAGAAAAAAAAATATAATATAGGTAGTATTCAATTTATAGTTGTATTTTTATACAGAACACTTCTTCAAAATTGAAATTTGTACAGGTAAAAATGCTCATACACTGTAAAATTGTCTATTTTTTTTTTATTTACCTTGATTTGTACATATTTTTTATCCTTGAATATGGCCATGAATATGGAGACTGAATGTGAAAATGATGTGAATTTTCAATATTAGGTTATTTAAAAGGATCTTGATAACAAATGAAACCTAATTCTCCCCAGTTTTTTTTTCATTTAAATCCAAAATTTGTGCTCCACTGAAATTTAAGATCTTACAGTATTTTGATTTCTTTCTGTCATGGTATTTTACAATTCACCAGCTGGTTTTTAAACTGAGAAATATTTGTTGTAGTAAATAGATGTTATCATTTTTGCCTTCTGTAGTTAAAGCAGATCAACCACCAAAAGGATTTTAGTGAAAAAATTCCTTTTTTACTAATCTACTGTACATCAAGGTATTTTAGCCAGTGTACAATTTTTTGCTTGTTTGATTTAAAATTGCATTGCTAATTTTGAACAACCAAATTAAAATTGAGGAATAATTTCATGATTTTTTTAGTTCTGCTCTAAATAGGAAATATATCACCTGGCTGAAATTAGATATTCTGGTTTTGACCATTCACCAAATTTAGCCTGTTAGAATATTGATTACACTAACTCTTTTTAATGTCCTGTTGCAGAGCAAATACTTAACTCTAATTGAAGAAAATTGTGAAACATTTAACAAGTTTATGAAATAAATTTTGTAAAATTTAATGTTTTAGATTCCTTATCTTTATATCCTCAGCTTCAACGGCCTTTATGTCCAGGTTGGGATTTGTAATGTGGTGCGGGGTGTAATGGAGGGAAAAGCTCTCGTCTCTCTACTGGCTGATGTTCTGGAGGAAGCCGAGGAAAACACGGTCGATTTTCTACTTATGGTGGGACACATTTTACTTATTTGAAGATAGAAACAAAGTCTAGCTAAAAGTTAATGGTTCAATAATGTTCAGTACTCTTGGATTCTGGTTTGTAAACCTAATAAATGTTTCTTTTTGGCAGACAAACAACTATTACACTATTTAGAAATTCTTACAGAAGATAAATGTCATACTATGTAAATATGGACACAATCTAGGTTTTGTCACTTCAAAGGCTAACTGTGAATAACATTAAATCAATATCACTGCTGAAAAAATTTATGTTTTAATAATTTGTCCAAAGTCATGGAAGATTACTTTCAAATATTGATTCCAAGTTAAAAGATTTAGATGTTTTCAATAAAGGTATGATAGGAATATTGTAATCATTATTTAAAAAATTCAAAGAAGGTTTTTTTGAGATGTTTGGGTTCAAAGTTATTGTTTTCCTTTTCACAGGTGATAACCAAGGCCTTGATGGGTGCTTCCTATGCACAGAAGAATAATCTCAAGTGCTTTATCTGGTAATAAACATTTATTACAGAACAATATTGATTGGGTCTATGCTGAGCTTTTATGTATCTGACTCTTCAGTAAATAAATTGGATTTATTTCCTACTTCTTCATATAATACAGATATAGAATATCCTCTCCTTTCCCCCACCTCACCTCTGTTGTATTTTCCATGAATTAAATTCTCTCGCACACACTCTTGTATTTTCCATGAATTAAATTCTCTCTCACACACTCTTGTATTTTCCAGGACATTAATTCTCACTCACACACTTTCTGTTGTATTTTGTAGGCATCTTATGGATCTGTCACCTGCAGGGTCAAAGTTCAACACAATGGTAATGACTGCACCTTTATCAGACAACTTCACTAAACAAGAGTTGTCGGAGATGGCTCTATTGGCCGATGAAGACAACAGCAATGGTTACAGTCAAATGATTGACGATGATGTCACAACCACCTGTTCTAGTTATCCGGGAAGTCGAGGTAAGTCAGCAGAAACATTTGAGCTGTCACTGAAACGTTGATGTTTTTTAAGATTTTTTATTATTGGTTGGGGTATTGGACATGTTTTCTTTCCCATTAAATATGCATGGCAATTAAATGGACTTAAACATGTATAAAATCAAACCAAACTTGTCACTGCAAGAATTAGTGAGATATTTTATAAAGTATTCAGGCCATGGCAGTGAAGTGCAATGATTTTATGTTGGAAAACATATCAATATATATAATATCAATCATTAAATTCCACTCTCTTTTTCTTAAATTCTAAATAATTTGAGCTTAGTGTGATTCTTTGTTAACATTTATGGTTTAAACAGAGTAAGAATTTCACACACCAGCTCTTTCATTCTCAGTAGATATACTTAAAACCTTCATTTAGCACATAAGATGCAGTTTTATCTGCAAGGGTATCAAAATATGTTCACTAATAAAAAATATTAGTATTTCTATAGTATCAGTATGGATGTGTTACTCATTGATTTTGATATATAATGTTTGATCATAGTTTGTTGTTAGACTTTACTGTAAATAATGAATTTTTGTGGAGGTTTTATTTTCATGGTAGATAACATTATTATTAGAATTTAGTGGATTTTGATAGTTCTTTTTATCCACAAATTTAAGAGCCAATTAAACAGAAATTTGAAAATAATAATAAAAAATAGATCATGAAGTTTAAATTCCACAAAAATATCTGATTTTACTAAAGATTAAATGAGGTGATGGGAATTTGTTTTTACATTTACTTAAAAGTTTAAATGTTGCACCCTAGATCTGTATTCAGGATACATTTCTGATTTTAAAAATAATGCTCAGGTTTGAAGAGGAAGTTCTTCCTTTGGTGATCATTATTGTAATTATGTATTTCAGTGATTTTCAATAGATTTAAGGTCAAGTTCATTTTTAAGCTCCAAGACCTGTCTGTGCACAAAAAAAAATGTATATTGGATTTTAGAAAGTTGAATCAACATTGCTGAGACTAATGAGATAATACTGAATAGTAAATAAATGGTTTCACATATGAATACAGACCTAGGACATGATTAAACAATCGGAATGGAAGGCAATTTAAATTGATGATTTTTTTTATGTGAAGCATATTTTTCATGATCTAAAAAAACTATCAGGAAAAATTGCCTTCCAGTCTTCCATAATGATATTTAAATACCCTAATTCTTTAATTGTTCTATGTTGGTTTTCAATCGACTTGATATAAATTATGATAAAATCTGTCATCGGATATGTGGGTTAGTCGTGATGGTGATCATATTCATTGTCTTAAAACCAATATGGTGGATTCTTAAAGTGTTGGAGAAGCCTTTGAAAAGAATTTTTTCGGAAAAGGAAATTATTTTCTAAAATGAATTCATTTTTGTAATTAACATGCTAAATAATACAATTCAATTATGATAATTATAATACTTTAATCCTTATTTCAATTAATTGTTTGATGCAAAAGAAAATGAATTTTTATTTTTCATCAATCATAACTTATTCATAAGTATATATTACATATAGCAGTCATGAACTATTTCATCATTATGTACACTGTATATTATTTCTTATTTGTACAGAAATGCAAATATATTTCAGACATTCTACTATTTCATTTCATTAGTTATTACTGTTAAACAAACAGGTTTTATTTTTCTGATGTTGTACAATTTTGTGTTAATCTTGATCCCCACAGTAACCTTTAGTAATCATGTGCCAATTAAGCACAAACAGGACCTCAGATTCTAACTGTTCTTAACACTTTGTGCCTATGCAGGTGTTTCTTTCTTGTCAGAGGGGACCGGTAAGTGTGCCATTGTTACGTTCAACATGCTGTCCTAGTCGCTAACAGCCTTAACCCTCCTAACTGGAATATTAGCATGACGTGGAAATCACATCACAGTGTCATTGTCACTAATATTACAGGGATTCCATATTTAATCGGATAATTATTATTGTAATAACTTGTCTTACTTACAAGCATAATTATAAATAGCATATACATAACAGGTTTATTTTGTCATACACAAATTTTTCTATTTGTTGTCAAAACTGCAATATCTCATTTAAGATGAGATGAACCACTACACATATGAGATTTGTTTTTAGTTTGTATCCATATTAGGTATGTGATATTTTCACCATTTAAAAACAAGAGTTAAAAATAGAATGTTACATTGCAGAGAGTATGTTTAAAAAAGTCTTTTTGATATTGATTAAACATAAAAAGGTAGGGAAGTGGAAGGTTTGACTGATTGAAATATATTTATGATGTGATTACCTTGTAGCTAACCAATAATCAGTTTAGTGTGTTGAGGAAGTGAAGTATTCAGGTTTTACATGTTTTGAAGATGTTGAGTATACAGGAGTTGTCGAGAGGAAGTTGAGTATACAGGAGTTGGTATGATGAAGTTGAGTATACAGGAGTTGTCGAGAGGAAGTTGAGTATACAGGAGTTGGTATGATGAAGTTGAGTATACAGGAGTTGTCGAGAGGAAGTTGAGTATACAGGAGTTGGTATGATGAAGTTGAGTATACAGGAGTTGTCGAGAGGAAGTTGAGTATACAGGAGTTGGTATGATGAAGTTGAGTATACAGGAGTTGATGTGATGAAGTTGAGTATACAGGAGTTGATGTGATGAAGTTGAGTATACAGGAGTTGGTATGATGAAGTTGAGTATACAGGAGTTGGTGTGGGGAAGTTTTTATACATGAGTTGGTATGATGAAGTTGAGTATACAGGAGTTGGTATGATGAAGTTGAGTATACAGGAGTTGGTATGATGAAGTTGAGTATACATGATTTGGTATGATGAAGTTGAGTATACAGGAGTTGGTATGATGAAGTTGAGTATACAGGAGTTGGTATGATGAAGTTGAGTATACAGGAGTTGGTATGATGAAGTTGAGTATACAGGAGTTGGTATGATGAAATTGAGTATACAGGAGTTGGTATGATGAAGTTGAGTATACAGGAGTTGGTATGATGAAGTTGAGTATACAGGAGTTGGTATGATGAAGTTGAGTATACAGGAGTTGATGTAAGGAAGTTGAGTATACAGGAGTTGGTATGATGAAGTTGAGTATACAGGAGTTAGTGTGGGGAAGTTGAGTATACATGAGTTGGTATGATGAAGTTGAGTATACAGGAGTTGGTATGATGAAGTTGAGTATACAGGAGTTGACGTAATGAAGATGGGTATACAGGAGTTGGTATGATGAAGTTGAGTTCGCAAAAGTTGATGTGATGAAGTTGAGCATAATTGAGTTGTTGACATAAATTGTTCCTTTCGAGTATTAGAGTACAATTTTCTAATGGAATTGGGGTATAGTGGTAATAAATCAACCTCACTGAAAATGTTCATGTCAGATCTGAGCTACATTTAAAACACTTTTAAAAGACTCTGCAGTAAATGTTTGATGTACTTAGGTTATATTTAATGCTAAATTTTAGTGTTAATAAAGTATGACCAAATGCTGGAAAAAATGCAGAAAAGGAAAAGATAAACCAATGTACTCTGATTTGTTTCTTTAAGTTTGTTTATATATGAAATGGAAACACATCTACTACATGTATATAACATGAATGCAATTTTTTTTCTTGTAATAATACATTTCTGTCATTCTGCTGGTATATACAATAGCTATAATGACAAGCTTCATGGAACCCTGGTTGAGGGCTTGATTGGTGATGCTTCTATTTCATTATAATCAATGTTTCCTTGTTAATTAATCAGAGAAGGATTTAGTATTTTCTGTTTGTCTGAATAGTGATCCTGTGGTCATATTGACAGATAAAAAGATGACTATTTAGAATATGTTCTGTCTGTTAAAAGATGGGCTGTTTGTTCAAGTAGTGGATTCATGATAAATTAAAAAACTACTTAGAAAGTGTTCAGTTTGTCAAAGTAGAAGGCTCTAGCTATATATAGTTTTTAGAAATCTTTGAAATCAAAGATCTAAGTATATCATTTCTGCACCTATGGAGTATGTCATTATAAGATTTGACATTCTGTTGATGTCCTTTTGAAAAAAAACCAAATCCCTTGGAATTTGCTGATATTTTCATGATTATAAAGACACTGACACCCATGCTGTATAAAGATGATAAATTTAAACTCAGAGCTGCCTTGGTGCTCTTTGTCTTTATCAAAGATTTATCAAGATGGAAATTTCTGAAACCATTTCCAGATTGTATCAAGATTGTGTGTAAGGAATCCTCATTGTGATGACCATACTCCAATGTGCAGAGATGACACAGGTGTAAATCTAGATCGGAGCCATTGAATTTTGAATATTTTTACAGCAGCAGTACGGAACTGACATTAAAATCATGACCAACATTTTAAGCCTGCTTCCGAAAGTCCAGTTTTTACCTGCCATTAACAGTATACTTCAGTAGGAAATTTAGTGCTGTTAATTTTCTTCAAGCAGCTTCAAGTGGTGGCAGTGTTGGGGACTACTGTCTTCTAGATCTGCTTTTTGATTTGCAGTTGCTTAATGAATATTCATCAGAATACATTTACATACGTGTGACAGTGCTACTATATTAACTTACCAGAGAGAAGTTTTAATTTATAGTACCATAAATGACGTCCAACTGGTCACTCTTTTTACATCATTATTATCAGCATAGAAACAGCAATGGTATACAATCAAAATGTCTTTCCTTCGATGGATAATGATTTTGGTGATAAATTACTTATTTCAGTGTAATATGTGTACATAGAAATATAATATAAGCATTGGACCCTCTTGTTATAATTGCATTTACGGTGGTTATAAATGACAAGAGTTTTGCAGGCAGACATACCATATTCAATATAATATGGTAGTCAAAATTATGAAGAACAACTTTTAGCTTCTATCCATATTTATTTTGTATAAAACTTTGGTTTCTAGATCTTTGCCTACACATCTGAGTGATAATTGCCTCCTTGATTGTTAGCTAGTGAATGTGGACCTAATAAATGCCATTAATTCTGTGTATACAGTTTTACACAGAGTTACTTCCCCTGTTATCTATCTGTTATTGGCAGGTTTTTATTCCCCATGCAGAGATGTAGTTCTCCAGTGTATATGATAGAGACACAAAGATCTTAATGTAGATACTACAACGTTGACCCAAATTACATCTTAGGGATGAATATAAAACAAAATTTTGATAAGTAATCATAGCCTATTGGAGGACAAAACCTGACAATCAAAATGAAAGCTGCATCACGGAAAATAAATAATGTAATTAAACAAATGTAGAATGTTGGATACATATTTCACTTTCACACAACAGCACTTTTTTCTTCACTTCTCAATCCCGTACATGTATATGATATAGTCTACATGGTGTTGGAACCTCTGTATCAATTATGTACAAGATCTAACTTAACAAGAATGATGTATTTATCATAACAGTGGGTAAGGAATTGTATGTATTAAATCTAAGCGATTTAGAGCACACAACGGTACTATTATCAGAATATTTTATATATATTTTACTACCATTTATTTTTAAATGACTAGATAACATTGTTTAACGAAACATTGAAACCATAAGCACTATGCTCAATACTTAATCTGTTCACTGTATTAGTTTAAATTTTGTATTTTGGAGACAATCTGATGAAAAGACTCACTGGAAGCTAAAATTCAATGCATGGTTGGCTTGCGGCATGCCTCCTGCAGTACGTTCAATGAAACACCCAACAGCTACAAGAACACTCAGTCTCGAAATAACCCTTGCTGTTGACAGGGCAATGAACCCTGCAAACAAACATACCTATGAGTAGATATAGAGCTCTAATATTAGTGCCTATTTAGAACATTGAAAAATAGCTGTAGGACTTAGTGTGGCAAACCATTTCTTGTTGTATTATGAATTTAATATATATTGTAAAACATGTATTTATATTGTTTGTTTGTCTGGCACCATCTTTGTAGATACGTCGGTAAACTTAGGTAATGCGGAACACCAGTTGATGTATATGTATGACCCAGATGTGATGCGACGCCTCATAGCGGAACTCTGTCAGAAGTATAACCGATCGCCTGCATACATCATGTCTCTAAATGAGAAGTGGAAGGTGCCTCGAGACATGCACCACATCATTATGAACCTCCAGCAAAGTGAAGACCAGGCATATGTTTATCTCCTTATTGGCAAGGCCAATCACTGCATGGATGTCAGGGTAGGTCTTGTCGCTGGAGGAAATAAAACAGCAACTTTCCTTCAAATTTGTCAGCACATTTTCACGCCATACAGTTTCGACATTGGTTTAAGCAAAACTTTTAAACTACAGTACATATTTATACTGACCTTTTTATGCAGGTTTACTGCATATAGATAAAGGTCGATGTTTTAACACACTAATGTTCCCATCACTTTCAGATTTATGAGCGAGCACGACAGCTGCTGTATGTGGCCGACAATGTGGTAGCAGAAATGTCCTATACACTGTCCAAGCATGTGCGATGGCACATCCTGCTGGCTGATCTTCAACAATACTTCCTGTCTGAGACTCTAGCAGACCAAACCTCACTACAAGATCTGGTCAAGAAAACCAAGACTTGTATCACCTGTGTACGACTTGGCCAAGGTAAGGGCAAATTTCAGGCTGTGCAATCAAAAGTGAATATCCTTGAAACCTCTTTGAATTATTCCAAATTATGCTTGTGAAAATAAATTTGAGTTTGAACTTTCAGTCATTCACTCCAAATTATGCAAAGTGTTTAAAAAGCTGAAACTACCAATCACTAAAGAAAACTCTGTTCGGGATATTGACAAATGGGTTAATACTTAATATGATTATGTTTTTGAATAATTTTATGGAACAGGATCTTTGAGAAATTGCAGCTTTGATTTTGTTCGTTGGAAATCTTTTGTTTGTATTATCCACTGAGAGTTTACAGTATATATAGTGAAAGTGAAAACATGAAGAGAGGATGAATGGCATAACTAATAGTTATGGCATTGATCACTATTATTGAGATGTTTTATTAGATGGACAGAGCATAATGTACAGAGGATGTGGAGACACAATATTTATTATATTTTGCATTAGATCTATTCATACTTTACAGATGTACAACCAAGTCGCTTAGTGCTGGAGCACTGTGCTGCCTTCCTAATGAACATCAGGGACTGGAATTACTTAGCCAACATGGACAACTCAGGCAGTGGTCACATTGAGGTCAGTACTCAGGCAGTTGTCAAATTTAGATCAGAACTCAGGCAGTGGTCATATTGGGCTCAGTACTCAGGCAGTGGGCACATTGATGTCAGTACTCAGGCAGTGGTCACATTGAGGTCAGTACTCAGGCAGTGGTCAAATTGAGGTCAGTACTCAGGCAGTGGTCACATTGAGGTCAGTACTCAGGCAGTGGTCAAATTGAGCTCAGTACTCAGGCAGTGGGCACATTGATGTCAGTACTCAGGCAGTGGTCACATTGAGGTCAGTACTCAGGCAGTGGTCACATTGAGGTCAGTACTCAGGCAGTGGTCATATTGAGCTCAGTACTCAGGCAGTGGGCACATTGATGTCAGTACTCAGGCAGTGGTCATATTGAGGTCAGTACTCAGGCAGTGGTCAAATTGAGTTCTCAGTCCTCTGACATTGGTCATATTGAGTTCTTAATCCCCTGACATTGGTCATGTTGAGTTCTCAATCTTCTGTCATTGGTCATATTGAGTTCTCAGTCCTCTGGCATTAGTCATATTGAGTTCTCAATCTTCTGTCATTGGTCATATTGAGTTCTCAATCTTCTGTCATTGGTCATATTGAGTTCTCAATCTTCTGTCATTGGTCATATTGAGTTCTCAATCTTCTGTCATTGGTCATATTGAGTTCTCAGTCCTCTGTCATTGGTCATATTGAGTTCTTAATCCTCTGACATTAGTCATATTGAGTTCTCAATCCTCTGGCATTAGTCATATTGAGTTCTCAGTCATCTGGCATTAGTCATATTGAGTTCTCAGTCCTCTGGCATTAGTCATATTTAATTCTCAGTCCTCTGGCATTAGTCATATTGAGTTCTCAGTCATCTGGCATTAGTCATATTGAGTTCTCAGTCCTCTGGCATTAGTCATATTGAGTTCTCAGTCCTCTGGCATTGGCCATATTGAGTTCTCAGATTGTTACCACTATCCATCTGTTGATTCATGTCATATCCCATCACAACCTGTTCCAAGTCATTGTCAGAAATCTCAGAACAGATATATATTTACACTATAGTTATCATAACAACAAGTACGACATCTGAATCAGATTCAGGTTGGTCATGGTCATGTCTTTTTCTGTAAAATCATTAGTTTTTAAAGTGGATCGCTCACTATTCTCAAGCAAAAGATAGGAACTTGTTTCCTTTTAATATTATTCAAAATGTATAACTTTTGCAAAATACTGATACAGTACATTTGTCAATGACAGGACTTGAATGTAAAATGTACTCAATTTTGAAAATTATAAGAACATCTGTTTGATCTTAAAATGTCTGATATTGGTTTTAAATGACTGTTTCCAGCTGTGTCGTCTGTTTTCCTGTGTATGTAAAGAACTACCTTCCATTAAGAATGCCAGAAAGCCAGGCCGAGATTTGTGGGAAGCTCGTAAGTACAGTTTAAAGTGTCCAATTCCTGTGTTAAATAGAATGGTAAGCATTCATTACATATTAGATTTACTTGACATACATAATCAAGATATTTTGTTTTGTTTGGCCTAAATTGTACAGATACCTGTATTTGAATTGGTTCTGAGAATGTTTCAATGAGATAATAGGTTTAGGCGGACTTGATATTCATTACTTAGCTACCCTGTTATCAGCAGTATGATAAGGCTAATCAAACATTTATTGCAGACCCATTTGTATTATGATATAACAGAACTTTGATTGACTGAAGATTCCTCATTGTTTATATGCATTTGACATTACCCAAAAAAGAAATATGCCATGAGAATGTCTCCATTTTATCTTTTATATCAGTCTAACCAAGTACTGTTTCCATGATTGTTTGCCATCTCGGTAAAATGAGAAATGGTCTATATCTGTTGCAGTGAGACATATATTTACAACAAGTACCCAACAAAACCGAGGGAACAGTGCCGCAAGGAACAGTGCTATTCATAGAGAGCCTAATTATGCCTGTGTTACAAAGGACGCCTTCATAGAGTTCCTCAAAAAAGTCAAGGTGCAGCAAAAATTTGTGATGATTTTTCAGGTTCATTAGGATAAAATTTAAAATATACCTTGTACTATTAAATCAAATGCATATTTGCAAACATGAAAATGACAAAGTTATAGGTGGTGCTCTCATAAATACTGTGAATCATATTTTCATGGGACTCAAATTTCTCGACTTTTCAAACAATTAATCATTTTTCTGGCACTTAACTTTGTTGATAAATAGGACCTGTGAAATCCTCTGATGTCTGAAAAATTATGTCAAGTTTATTAATTGGTGGACATTTGGACTTTAGGAGAAAGAAAGCCCACATAATGAGTGAAAATAAAAACTCACAAGAATTAATGTTTGTGCAGTAAGCCGTCTTTCATGGCTATTGGATATTTAGAAATGGAATTATGTTGAAGGGTTTTCGCCACATTTCAAACATTGATAAAATCATTGCAAGTCCTCAATTTTGTTGATATGTAAAACTCTTTTAGAAATAATTTGACATTGTTTGTAAAACATGCTGTTTCTGACAGAGAAATATTAATGTTAATGATGCCAGAATTAGCAACATTATAATCATGATTACAGATGATAATCTTGTATTTCTCCACAGGAAACAAGCATTCTGTCTGTACTGATATCTGTGATTACCAAGTACTACAATATTTTGAGGGTAAGTCATGATGTTGGTTACTTTTTGGGGAGTTTTAGGGTCCCACATCAAAATAACTTGTATGATAGCTTATAGGTAGGCCTTTCCTCGATGTAAGTCTAGTTTATACTTCTTATTGAATAACTGAATATTAGTTCACAATTTTTTAAAGAAATATTGTCTATATCAAAAGATTTCATCAATACCAGAACAAACATAATATCGGGTGCAGAAACTTTGACAAATTAAGGATATACGTATATTGAAACTAGAAATGTTCAACTTAAGTTACAGGTGATGGTTTCTATTGTTATCATATCCTTCAGTATCAAGTTTGATCACTCTCCATTTCCATAGTTGAAGATGTCCTCAGATTTGGGAACAAGATATTGGTGCATGTATTCATATGTGCTTAACAGCAAACAATTTCTGACATTGTTTTAAATATTAATATATTTTTTGTTCAGTTTTTTTTGTCTTTTTTTTTAGATTTTCTTTTTTTCATCCTTTTTTTTTTTTTTTTTTTCATTTAATTTGACTTTTCCAGAAAAAAGATGTTTTTGTTACAGGATGATATATCCTGTGAAATTTCCAGTGACTACATAGCCCTATGGCCTACTACACTTAGCAAGTAAGTTGATGAATAACATATGTCACGTTTTCATTTTGAACAATTAGTACCAGTAAAGACCCATAAATTGGTAAAAGAAATTCTTTTTGGATTATTGGGTTGATTCCTAACATATATACACTTTATAATACTTACCTTAAATACATTGAAATAATTAATACTGGTCAGTCCCATCATTAGTAGGTCGTTCCACCTCAGAAGTGGCCCAACCAAGAACTGGTTAGCTTTGACTGCTGTGTGTTGTTTTCGCAGCCTGATGTGTGAGATATTTTCACAACCACTTTGTTCATCCTGCTGTATCTTTAGACTTGTCTGTCATTGTGCCGAGCACTGTGTGTGGGGACCACTCGGCCTTCTTATCTCTTCCTCCATACCCTCACCCTGTCACACATATATTCTTGTAGCTAAAATTTTACGAAAGTTTGGTTTTATCCCAAATGGTGACAGGAAAAGAATGGTATCAACATAGGTTCATTGTTACCCATTAGTGGGCTGTTCCATTGTATTCTTTCCTCCTCAACTAAAACATTAATTCATTAACATTATAGTACTGTAAAATTGTGAAAAATTGTCAGGAATTGGAGATAATTGCCTGTTAGAACTGATGGAAAAGTGATTTACTGACAAAATGGATTTGTTGCAGTTCGGATTTGATGGCCACACAACTGTAAAAATGGGGTGGAGAGGGGGGGGACTATAATTAGATAAATCTTATGTCATTATTTTAGGAAACAAAATGTTTAAAAAGTCAGGCTTTGAATTAATCTTTTTTCATGAATCAGTTCATCGTTGGTGAACGGTGACGCTGTAGAAGAGGCCCTATCAGTGCTGATGCAGCATGTCCTAAGAGTCAACCCTGCTCAACCTTCCTGGCTCCGTACACAGGCAGACATACACTTCGGTACGTACAGTAGACTACTGATTCTAATTGTTATAAATTTTGAGTCAATTTCATTGGTACATTGTACTAATGTGCTGATAGCATAAGGCAAGCATCTGATTTGGTTATTTTTGGGTGGGGGGGAATGTTTCAAATTTCTAAGCTGTGTCAGAGCATATTGTATAGTTTTCTTTTTGCTACCATATGAAGATATACATGTTCAACTTGTAAACATCTAAGTTATCATTAAGGAAGAAGAGGTCTATAATAAAAAGATTAGATGCTTAAACTGGACTTAAAGTAGTTAAATGGGCCATGATAGCTCATTTGGTAGGACAGTATGTGGCAAGGTATGTGGATCAATGCATGCCATCTGTGACAGTTCATGTTTCTGAGGAAGCTGAGAAATGGACCTTGCACAAGACTCATGGCACCAATTGATCTAGATGGCGTGCATGAGGCCTTCAGTATGTTGTTCAGTGAGGTTTCTACCACTTACTTGAAGGGGACCCTGCTACAAAATGACCTTGACTATTGTCTGGGAGTTTAACCTAGCAAAACATAATGGATAAAATATACTAGATGGTTTTTTTTTACTTTGTTCCAGCTAACAACCAGTTCTCTCCTGCTATGAAGTACTATATGGAGGCTGGAGTGGTAGCCTCTGACTTCTTCTCCAGTGCTGTACCCAAAAGTATCTACGATGACCAGGTATCATTACAAGTTATAGAGAAATACAGAGTTATCTCTCCTTGTATTGTGATGCCAATTCATTTTTCTAAAATGAATAGTTTTGATAGGAACACGAGCTTACCTCCCCTTATCAACTCTGTTAATGTGTATTTTATCTTGATGGATATTTATGATAAATTTGTTACGATGTATGTTTAAATGAGAAGTTTTTTTCTTGAATTAAAGGTATACAGGAGGATGGTCAAGTGCTGTTCTTACCTTCAGTGTCATACCCAGGTAATGTTCATGTCCAATCTGACTGATCAAAAGTCATAATCTCCTGTAGATTAGCAGCTCTCAGCTTTCAAAGCCCCTTCGTTGTTATGATGGGCCATGTGATGTTACCCATGTCTGTCCCATCCCATCCAATTTCTAAGCTATGTTATCTTGAGAATGTCCCTATAGATTTGGTTTGTATTTACCCCATAACATCAAGTTCTATGCCTACCTAATCATATTAAGATTGTCATTGGTCAGGGTTAAGGGGTCAAATGTCACATGTGACAATTTTTTGCAAATTCATCAAACGATACTTAATGCATAGGAGTGGGTACATTCATGTCTTGTAGGCATTTCCTTGTGTTCTCTAATCATGATAATTTCTATATTTTCATTTGCAACATTTACAAATCCCCAGAGTAAATTTTAACCTCAAAGTTAGCCTTTCTGTTACACAAAATATTTCATTAAATGCATATTTGATTTAAGTTACTTAGGACTGACACATATTTCTCCATTCATGGTAAATCTGTTGCTTGGTTACAGGTTTTCCATCTCCTTGACTTTTTCTTGCCCACTATTTGAATCATGCATGCTCCACAACTTTTTTACATGTCTTATTTTTAGGCAAGTCACACATGTAATTAGTAAAAGACCTTTTGTTAACTGAATACCTCTGACAAGGCATTGTTAATACTGTCTCTAAACAAGTTTACATAATGTACCATACACCCTGAAGTGTATTGTGTGTATTTTATAGGTTGCGGTGCTGTGTCAGTTCTTAGATGAGGTTGACTACACTACGGCCTTTAAGGGCCTTCAGGAGAAGAATGTTTACGATGCGATGGACTCCTACTATCCATGTGTCTGGGACGTCAGCATACTGGAATTCCTTGTCCGTATCCTTACATTGATATTTGTAATACAAACCGACTTTTGTTCTAAAAAAATTTTGAAAAAAATGCAATCTTGTCACCTTAGTAGATCAACCAACAAACAGACTTCTGGACTACATCCCCAATCCCGTTCTTATACTTAGCAACTAAATTTTCTTAAAGAAACTCTCCATGTATTTTATCACTCTTGCTATTTTGAATGTCACCTACCCCAAGAAAATTTTAAAATCTTTTAAAATCAGTATCTCAATCTACCACTAGTGAGATATGATGAACATTGCTCTTGACTTGTTGGATGTTGCTGTAACTGCTATTTTTACTGTCATCATTTTATGTGTTGTATTGGTACCCATGTCTGCCTGTCACAAAGTTGATATCTTATTCTGAGAATATTTTTATTCATATTTTAGATATTTTTCAGATGAGGAAATAGAACTATCCAAATATTTTATCTCTTGTGAAATAATGTGACCTTTCTACGACCTTCAGATAAGCATTTCAATGACCTTTTAACCTTAACTCAGTCAAGATCTGCACACAAGAAGGGGAGAGGTGGAGAAAAGACAGGCAGCAGTAAGTAGAGTAACAAAATCATCTTCAATTATTAATCAAGAATTTTCATTTCATCATTTCAATATTGATGAGATATTGTAGAATCATATATTCTCATTGGGCTCAATTCTCGTGGCAGTTCAGAAAATATATTTCATAGACACATGGTGTGGTGAATTATGATAGTTCAATAGATTTACTTAAAATTCTTTCAAAAGTCATGGATATAGAACAGCGGTGAAATCTGAGAAATAGAAACTTAAATTCTTTGAGTGTGAAAATGTTTATTTTTTTAGATGTTAGAATGTTCATTGCAGTAAGTTTTCTTTCCCCTCATTTTAAGTGGTCCTTTCTATATTTTAGATGAAGGCACTCAGCCAGATTGACCTGAACAGTAACAACCCCGAGGATATTGTACAGAGAGCTGTACAGATGAGGAAACGGAAGTTCCTTCGCTCCCTAGCCAAACAATACCTCTGATGTATGTCTTGGCTAGAGACACTAATATTCACCATACACACTACCAGCTCTTCTGATTTAAAGACAAAAACAATACATTTTAGGAAGCGGATGTCCGAACTCTATATATAAGAAACAGTTTACTTATATCAATATTCATATTTGCTGTCTGCCAATTCAAAGAAGAAATTTATTGATATTTCTAACCTATACAGAGCTCTCCAAATGATTGATTTTCTTGTAAAGTGACAGCATTGATTGTCTGCAATGTCCTTCCGGCTGTCTGTAACACTTGATAAACCTTTACGTTTAACACTGTTCCTCTGATGCAATGTCTTTCCGGCTGTCTGTAACACTTGATAAACCTCTATGTTTAACACTGTTCCTCTGATGCATTGCCTGCATTTGCATCTGCAGGCTCGCCAGCATTTATTCTGGGATAGTTATGTGTGAAAAAAGAAGAACCAGTTTTTCTGTATAAATGAACAGGCCTCTGATTGGTCTTTGCCTATTCTTCTGTAATGCTATATGTTCTTTATTCATCAAAAGTGGTGAATTTATGGCCTGGTGTATTTTTAACACTTATTCTTATTCAACTCAAGTTAGGAGGCTCTGTACCATTTCTGTCAAAATTTTACAGGTGACATTTAACATGTAAGTTTGGATAATATTAAGTTTCAATTTGTATTCACAATTCTCTAATAGTTGACTTCAAACATATTTTAGTATTGTCAATCACTTACCAAACCTACCAACATCCAAACTCAATAATCAAAATAAGTTATTGTCTCACAATGATGTAGGACGAGAACAGAGTCTACATTTTTATCAGCATCAACATTTTAAATGAGATTCGTGGAGTGTAAGTATTAAAAGACTTAAAAGTATGAATGTTGATGTACAGTTACATCATGGGGTTTACAACATAAACCATAACAAAAGGATTTGAATCGCTTTGTTCCATTTTTTTTTTTTTTTTTCGGGGGAAAAAAAAGATGTTTTTTACTATAACTCCTGCAATAATTTTCAAGTTCTGTTATCAAACATTGTATAATTCAGGTAACACTTGTGAAAACACAATTCATTAAATTTTATCAATTTTTTTTTCTTTTTGCTTTTGTTTTGTAGTTTTGTAGGGTTTGTTCACTCCCAAATCATATGGTTTGCTTATGTCAAAATACCAAATCCCAGGGTTTTTTTGTTTGTTTTTGTCAATATTATAATTGCCACAGCTTGCTTGTGTCAGTCACTAATCCATGTTCGTATCAACAACACTCCAGTCTGATCATGAGTACTGTGTGAGAAATATTGTAATTTCTAGGTTTTATGGACATTTTATCTGTTGTACGCAATGTCTTGCTTCATACCATATACATAACAAATACTTGTCAGTTATCGTGCTGTAACTAAAATTATTGAAACTGCTGACTCCAACCAACAGGTGAAGGCCTTTTTGTTTTTTATATACAATTATTGTTTTCTGGTGCAAATGGAACATATTTGCAAAGTGCTGTTGTACATGTAATATTTATTTTCCTAAGCTCTATTTCAGTCATACTGTAGATTTATTCAAAAATCTTAGATTTCTGGAAATATTTTGTCACGGTTTTGTGGGAGTAAAATGTCTATCTTCTGTGTGTTGAATATGTTGTACATTGAGCACATTTATAACACTAGAAATGAAAATACCATGATAGTAAAGTAAAAATGAATCAGTTATCATAATTATTTCAATTATGGTTAATACAGAGGGTCAGAGAGCGAAAGTGATTGTAAAACCTGGAGTTTGGAGGGTACAGAGAGGGAAAGTGATTGTAATCTCTCGAGTATCTAGGTGGGCGGAGAACAATAGTGATTGTAAACCCTGGAGTATTGAGGGTACAGAGAGGGGAAGTGATCTTAACCCCTGGAGTATCCAGGGTACAGGGAGGGAAAGTGATTGTAACCTCTGGAGTATCGAATATCTTGAACTGCAATGTCTCTTGCTAAAACAACAATTCAAAATTCAGAATATCCTTTTTCTTCCTTTTTTTCTCTAGATATTACTAGGTATCATATATACATTAATTTGTACAACATCATACTAAATAGTGTTCATACTTTACTGTGTACAGGTTGTGATAATCATCACATTATTACCAGTAGGGAGCCGATTGTTAAGTTTAAAAGAATCATCATTTGTTATTTTTGATATTTTCTTGGAAGGAAAATCAAATATTGAAAATGTGAATGGTGTTTGTGTATGTATATTATTTTGTATATTTTTCACAATAGAAAATAAACATTTGTTTCAAACGTCTTTGTCATGTTCATCAATGTTGCTTATCACAAATTATTTGCTATGATACAAGAGGCCCAATGGGCCTGTATTGCTCACCTGGGTAGTTCAGCTATTCAGTCATTTAACAAAGAATTTTAAATATGACAAATAATTTCTCAAATAATATCCATACTAGGTCCCGGTTTTGTGGTCAAATAGAAGTCAGATTCACTATTGGTAAAAAATTGCTTCAGGCCAAACTTTGACAATATCCTTATAAGGAAGAAGGATTTTCAAGAACAAACATTTCCCCCAACTAGCCCCCTCCCTCCTAAGCATGCCAAGACCCACATAGGAGTATGATTTTAAAGAATTTACTGTCTTTCTTATATTGGGCCCCACCCCTCCGTCATAGGAGACCTGCAGTTTTTACAGGATTGATACCCTTTCTCCCAACAATACTTTAGACCATTGTTTATAGTAAGTTGGTTTCTCTTTCCTCGAGGATGCTTCCGACCAAATTTGGTCAAAATCTATTCAGTAATAATAATAACTTAAGTTTCACATATTATTTTTTTTTACATAATGTGGAGAGAATTGACAGACATGTATTGACCTACGAGATTTAGTAAATGTATGAACCAGCACATCATCCTAAAAAATCACTACAACACCACCAATTTAAAACCATCATCAAAAGTGGTTTTTAAACGATTTATCTCCAAATCATAAAAATGAAATAAAAAATTGACAGACGACGGGCGCCACGCCATGCCATAAGCAAGCATATGTTAACCTTCGAATTCAGTGTTTGTTTTTACGGAAAAGAGATAAGACTTTCTCTCAACATTTCTCAACTTTGAAATCAGTAACGAAGCCTTGAATCATGGAAATAAAGAAGTAGTGTTCAACAAAAATGATTGTTAGGGTAAGTGGCCACTTTATACACACGTTTTGGCAGATTTGCATAGTTTGACGCCGCTTCTGAATATTCACACTTCCGGTCTCTTAAACCACGAAAGAATGCTTTAAGTTCAAACAACTTGTGTGGCGATATGTTTCATTGTAATATCTATCTACGCAAATGGAAAATAATTGCTTGATTGATTGATTGATTAATTGATTGATTGATTGGTTGGCTGGCTGACTGGCTGGCTGGCTGATTGATTGATTGATTGGTTGACTGACTGACTGATTGATTGATTGATCGATTGATTGTAACTTTGACAGGCGCCGTGTAACAGATTCGCCAATGCATTCTGAAGGAACAAGACTTCTTAAAAGCGAAAGTATGCCTGCATTTGTACATGTTTCCCAAAACAACAAAAGTACTTGTATCTCAATAATCGATGTAACGGCAAAATCAAAACAAATGTAACCCTTTAAAAATGTACAAAGGGATTAGGAGCACTTATTCCGGAGAGATAATTAAACTACACCATTCTTGTGATTCATTCTCAGTAAATTTCATCTTAGCCTAAGATTTGTACTGTCTGATACAGTTCATCGCCGTCCATGTTTCTGTGGTGATGAGTTATGCCACGTAGCTTAGGTTTCCTCACTGAATATACAAGCTTTGTATAATTTATCAAAATCTATAAACAAAAGATTTCGGAAGACACAGTAATATGGTCTAGGTCTCTGATAAAAGTGAGATTTTCAATTTGTGAGATGAATCCTATTTTCACTAAAATCTAAAACACTATTTTTGTGTCATAATTTTTAAAATATTATTATAAATCAACATAAAAAATAAGCGTAATATGGCGTAATAGAATTACAACATCGGCAGAAATTTTAGTGAATAGCATACATACCTGTATATTGAACCAATACTCTATATAAAATGTACACAGTGATCCTTCAGTTCCGAATTCCCTGATGTGTTATACTTAACATTGGCTAGGAGCATAACACAAATTCTGGCTGTCAAAACTGACCACAGGAGAGATATTTTGATCCTAACAGTAGTTTTAAAAGGCCATTAGAATGCATTTTTAAAAGGTGCAGAACAGCCAGAAATTATACAACCCGGGCGGCATATATGTCATGGATTATATCTCGTATTTAGACTTACAAATATATGTATTTTCAATACCTTGATTTGTAAAAATACTTTTTCCGAGTGAAACTATTAACGCAATCATTATATCATTTTCTTAAATTTTCTAACAAAAGAAAAATAAAACAGTGTGAGTTTTTGAAGGTTGCTTAAACTCCTATTACGGGATTGATTGAAGGTGAGATCAGGTCAAGTCGTAATGTGTAGTGATTGATAGTGATTTCTCGTTATAGTTATCGCCTCTAGCGATGTAAATGTACTTATCTCATCTCCAATTGTTTCCCTTTATTTGATTACACACTTCGTGATTGCCAGTAAGAGTATCAGGTGCAAAAAAATAAGCAATGTGTTTTCAATGTCATTGTGGAAGAATTGTGACGTCAGCATTTTGAAGTAAAAGTTTTTTCCATGATAGCTTGCGAAATCAATCAAATACACAGCAACAGCGGATACAGAAAAGAGGTTCAAATGTGCTCATTGTTTTAAAATAACGTTCCCTGTGAGTTTTGATATTTATTTCGTCTAAATGACGGAGAAGTTTTACGGTCGTCATGGTGATCTCAGTACAAAATATTCTGTTCCTCTGTTCGATGTTAGAAGTGCTTTAGAATGCCTGGTTTTTCTGTTTTTGGTTTACCGTGTTCTGATATGGGAACTTGACTCTATTTTCTTGGAATGACCAAGATTTACTTGTGGGAGTGTCTTTTACTTTGATGAACATCTGGTCTTATTCTCCTTGTACTTTTCAGGAATTTCCGTGTAAATCTTTCTTGTGTTCACAATTTACCCTAATTTTATTGAATGTGAGTTTGTGTTGTTATTCTGTTAACGTGTTGATATTTTCTTTGTTGATTTTACTTTCCTCGGTCATTTCCTAGGATTTATCAGATTAAGTCCTTATCACTTGTCCTAGAAAACCGAAACAGTTGTATAATGCAGTTTACAGACGTGCTTCTATATCATCTAGTTCAAATTTGTATTAAAAGGTGCTATCCACTTGTCCTTAGTCCAATCTGACGAAGTAATGGTGCATTGCATTTTTCTAATCTTCAAAGTTTCCAAAGACCAGAATTCTAGCAAATGCGAGTTTTAAATGTCTACAGTCGCATGCTTTGCTTTTTGTTTTGTTTGCTTTTCATATATAAAACTATTTCGCTCATTTTTGTCACTAATTTAAAACTTGAAATAATTTTCACCCTAGATAAGGGAAGCATGTGATGATTTCTAAACAAGTCTTTTAGGTAGCGTAAAACAATACGTAAAGACCATTTGTTCTTGTGATACATTTACCGAAACCATAAAGAACATTTACCGCACCCTGAAAATATCTAGCGCACTCTATAGGACAAATACCGAACACTAAATCATTTCTGTTGCACTCTTAAGGAAAAATACCGCACCCTTACGAATATTTACAGCACTCTAAAGAATATCTACCGCATTTTAAAGAATATCAACCGCACTCTAAAGAATATTTACCTCTCTCTAAAGAATATCTACCGCACTCTAAAGAATATCTACCGCTCTCTAAAGAATATCTACCGCACTCTAAAGAATATCTACCGCTCTCTAAACAATATTTACCTCTCTCTAAAGAATATCTACCGCACTCTAAAGAATATCTACCGCACTCTAAAGAATATCTACCGCTCTCTAAACAATATTTACCTCTCTCCAAAGAATATCTACCGCTCTCTAAACAATATTTACCTCTCTCTAAACAATATTTACCTCTCTCTAAAGAATATCTACCGCTCTCTTAACAATATTTACCTCTCTCTAAAGAATATCTACCGCATTCTAAACAATATTTACCTCTCTCCAAAGAATATCTACCGCTCTCTAAACAATATTTACCTCTCTCTAAAGAATATCTACCGCACTCTAAACTATATTTACCTCTCTCTAAAGAATATCTACCGCACTCTAAACTATATTTACCTCTCTCTAAAGAATATCTACCGCACTCTAAAGAATATCTACTGCACTCTAAACTATATTTACCTCTCTCTAAAGAATATCTACCGTAACTCTAAAGGACAATTAATGTATTGATTGGTATTTGTTTACTTGACAAAGATTTATGAATACCATTCGTCTGGAATCTGATTCTGAAGGCATTGTCTACGACCATTTAAAAAGGTTGATAATCATTGAAATTAAATACGGTATTTATGTCACAGCCGGGATTCTATAAATATATTGATAACTTTGAAATAAGATAAAGCCTTGTTATAATTTAATCATATATATATATATGTATATATATTTAGCTGCTTCTCATATGTCTTTCCTTGTAAAATTGATTTTCTGCATTTTTGCTTTTATTCATAATTGTCAGCAGGTTGTGTCTGATATTGAGATAAACAGACATACAAACAAAGCCAGTCATCTGCAGTTTTGTCATATTTCCTAAAGATCAATTTCAAATTACAGTTATATGCAGTAACAATCAATGTGGGTTGCGTTTTGTGACTGGTGTATTCGGATTAAGTTTATAAATCATTGTGACTTATGTTTTTCTCAGGATACATATAAAACAGGTTAAAATCAACATCCTGGTCACGCAGAGGTCAACACAAGAAAGGAAAGAAAAAGTAACCCAATTTATTCAGTCTAAAATCTCTCTTTTGTCAATCACGTGAATGTAATTTTTAATCTAAAATTTTAAAAAACATGACAGAGTAAATCAGCGATAAATAGAAATGACGAAACTTTATAAATAATAAACTAATTGTAACCGTTCTATCAGCAATAAAACTAACAATGCTATAGGTAAATAATAAATACTAGTTTAACCTATATTTGCAACAGCTGGGCTGTCAGTTTCCTTTGCTGAAATCGATTACCGTGTGACACAATGTAAACTTAATTAGTGAATTGTTTCAGTGTACCTGCCTGAGCAATGCAGCGCGTAATCGATTACTGCGTTAATGTAAAGCATTTTATTTCATT